TCCTGTTGTTCCATTTGCCTCTCTTTTCTCCTGCATCCCTTTCCCTTCGCAATGTTCCTACCTCCTGCCTTACTTAGCCCTCTTTCCCCCCGTTTCCCCCCTCCCTTCCCATCCTCAATCCCTTCTGTCCTGCTCTCCTCAAGTACTCTTTTCTCCTTCCTACTCATCAAAGCAATGTCCCTAATCAACTCTTTTTGAAAAATTTGTTTTAGTTCTGCCCCTTTATGCAAATCTTTTGTATAGGTTAACAATAACTTATGTTCATCCCTCCTTGCATCCCTATTGCTTGAGTTTGGTGCCTCTCTTCTTCCCTAGCCCCAATGCCATTTCCATTCCTATTTTTCTTATTAGGACTTCGGGGATAACTAGCTCTTAACCAATTCCCATACTGAGGTTCCCTCCCTATATTCATTCCTTTTTTACTACAATTTCGTTCACTATGACCAATCAATCCATAACCAAAACAGAAATTTGGACATTTTTCATATTTAAATCCAATCCACCTCTTAAAACCGTTACTATTTACCTCTAGGTAATGGAATGGAAAGATCAATTTCAGCCAAAATTTTTAGATGTTTACCTTCCTTTCCTTCGCTCTGTGGGATGATCACCTTATTTACTTTTGGAAATATGTTGTAATCTTCTTTTCCAACCTTCTTCGTGACCCATTGCAAGGGTATATTCCAGATCTGGACCCAAATTAATATTTTACTTAAAGCTTCTTCATTCTCCTTCAAACCAGCTTCCAACTGCAGCAGAATTAAAGGTTGCCATCATAAATCCATGGCCTCCTGCTCATCACTACCTCTATATTCTTTTCCTTCTCGAAAATGAACTGGAACAGATTACATCCAATCTCCATTACTTTCAGATGTTTCACCTGAGACCACATGCTATTTGCGAAGCTCTTAACTCCTCTAATATTTGCCTGCTTTCCCCCCTAAACTTTTACCAATCAAGCTTTGCTTGCATTCTAGAACACCTTTAGCCACTTCTTCCTTGTTCAAACAAACTCCATCTCTTTCCTCTTCAGAGAGTTTGAACCTTTTTAGTACCTCTTCGATATTCTCCATAATCCATCCTATAAACTTCACGCTGCAATTTCTAGGATGTTTCTAGTCCAATACAAACTAAAACTAATTCGAGTCCTTGCAATGCCTCCAACAAGTTCCAGTACCAATAACTCCTGATTCAAAACAAGCAAAACAGAAAAACGAAATTAGACACGGAAACAACAAAAGCTAACAAAACGTGAAGAAGGAGAAAAGTGAGCGTAGATATGAAAGCTATCACATCTTATTTAATAGAAAATGGAAAATGGAAAAAGTTATGGCTACTATCACTAGAAAATCCAACGCTATTCCAGAGATCATGGATGAGATCGGTAAATTTTCTTCAATGGAAGGTTGTTGATCTTGGCTCCTAAACCGGTAATTCAATTTTTTTGAAGTTTTCAAGAAAGTGTGAACACCTGCTGAGGGGTATTTTCTCTCTCTAGGACAGAGAGAAACTTGCTCTTATAGTGAGAGGCTATTCAATTAAAATAGTTTATGACATAAACTGCAATTAAGTAAATAATTTAATGGGGTTTAGTGCATTTAACCCTTATAATAAAAATCTTAGTAATCAAGACTCAAGAATTCAATGCTAGAGTCAAAGTCTTTTCCAAATAGTGGTATTATGTCAGGACCTAATGACTAATCTACAAATTATGCAAGTTGTAGTAGTTGTATGAGTCAGTTAGAGGATTGTTAGACTTGATGAGGTCAACAATTCAGTTAGTTAAAAGAATAATGAAGTAGTGGATTTGTTAGTTCATTCTTTTATATTAAGCAAATTGTAAAGGAAAGATGTCAAGAAAGTTCATAACAGAATTTGATTCTCATTCGTTCTTGCATCCTTTTCTCTCTCTCTTTCTCTCGGTTCCTTTCTTCTTTCCTTTTTCATCTATTTTACTCAATCTTCAAGTCATCTTCCAGAGATAGCTTAGTTGCAGCTAACTATTAGGAATTCCACTCTCATTCTTGACAATTAGTATCCAGAGCTACGATTCTTGGACTGATACAACTAGTTCGAGCATGCAGAAGGCACCTGTTTCAAGAATATGGAATATCAATTGAAGAAATAGGAAGGTCGTTTACAAGAGGCTCTACAGTCTATTACTTCCCTTCAATAGAATCAGCAAGAAATTCAACAGCAACTGCATGGAGAAATGGAGATTTCTACTTAGAAGATGAAAGCAATGATTTCAGGAATAGATCAGAAACTCAATGCTTTAATTGAACTAGTGGCCTGAGAGAAGAATTTGAAAAGAGAGAAATCAACTTAGTCGGAAAAATACCCCATCTTACTCGCACCACCACCGTACACAAAACTCCAACCAGACAATGGCATTCATTAGTGCACCAGAGCTAAATTTCTGAAGATAGTTTTACCAAATCCACCCAACATTGAGCTACCATTGTTTGCTAGGGAAAATCCTCGCATTTGGCTTCGCAAATGCTAGAAGTATTTCATCACCTATCAAGTTCCATCTGAGTAGCAACTGGAAGTGGTTGAAATGTTTCTTGACAAAAAAGCAGATGTGTGGTATGGTATCAAGGCATCAAGATGGAATACCCAGAACTATCATGGCACAAATTCTCTGATATGCTCTGTGAGAGATTGATAGGGTGTTAATTGTTGGTTATTTTATTATTAATTTTTCTTTTTGTCCTTGCCAAATATTACTTAATTGTTAATATATATTTATATTTTGGTATTTGGATCTCATTTCAAGAATGCAGCAAAAAGTACACAAAAGAAAATAAAAAGAAAAAAAGAGCTAGACCATCTGAAGGATAAAACAGCTTCACACGCTAGAACCTCCAACATAGCTACAAGTCGGGCCCCATATGGTGTTACAAGGAAGCCTTTTTCGGTTGCTGATATGTGGACTTTAGTATTAGGTAGATGACTTGTACGGGGAGTCTTTGACTAGCAAGAGGAAACTAGAAAAGTGAATTCGGGAGAGCTTTCTTCTGGCACCTTGACTCTCAATTCGGCGGGGACCACGTAGAGAAGAAAGACATTAGTCATTTGAATTGAAAGAAAACAAACATGCAAAGAGTTGTTTTTGTTCCTTATTCGTGGGGACCACTGGATAGATAGCTTTAGTCATTTCTTTTTGACTATATAAGGACAATCGTAAGAAACGCTACAGAGAGTTTTTTTAGCATAGTTTAGTTTTATTCTTTCTTGGTTCCTTTGATGGCCTGGACCTCAGTTAAATTATTTGGAGATTTTCTCATGAGGCGTGGCTAAGTTTTTCTAGTCGAAGGTCAATTTGAGGATTCGGTTTCGAAGATCTGTGAGATCTAATTATTTTACTTATTTCTTTTATTTATTGGTATTTATACGTTTCCTGATTTAATTGTCTATGCTTGTTATGTTATTTGAATGTCAAGTGACCGATATTCGAGTTAACCTAATAATCTACTGTCAAATTAATTGATTGAATCCGTAATTATTCAATTGATTTATACCAGTGGCGACTAGCGTGATTGGTTTCATGTTAGGGAAACGTATGATCTAACTTAAACATACCCTCATAGCGCGTTTGTTGGTTAGGATTGAGCTTTTCTAATTATTAATACAATCGAGTAATTAAATCCTATGGTCGTACCTAGGGTTATTTCTTGGTTAGAGAAATAGTTAACGGTCGTACCTTAACTATCAAGAAATTAACGAAAGGCTGGTTGTTCATCGCGTATATGACAACTATAACCAATCTAGTAACGAGTAATTGAATTATCTTTGCATCGATGATCAGTTGAATGGACCGTGTCTGAAAAATTGCACCTTTGGCTAGAGTCATATTGGTTATTGATTAATTTCTATTTATTTCTATTAGTTGTTTTATTAGTTAGTTAATTAGTTATTTTATATTCTCCAAAAAACCCCCATACTTTGGACTTTAAAAGAAACAAATTATCCCCAGTCCATGTGGATTCGACCCTACTCACTGCTATATACGAAATTTGTATTCTTCTTGAGTAGGTAATTATTATTGCACAGGCTCGACACCCTATCATGAGAGATTCGTAGAAAAAGGAACTTATGATGTGGTGGAAGATTTCAATAAGTTACAACAAGTGGGAACTATGGAGGATTATCAAGAGAAGTTTGAGGAGTTGAAATCATTAATGTTGGTAAAGAATCCTTACATCTCTAAATCATATTTTGTTTCTAGTTTTATTAGTGGATTGCGAGATGAGATCAAGGCCATGGTAAAGATGTTAAAAACAATCAAAGTATCTGATGCCATGGAACTAGCACAATTACAAGAAAAAGCATTGCAATTACAGCACAAGTCTGTTAAACTGTCTGCTAAGTCATCCGTTGATCCCAAGTTTGGCTTATACAAGAATGCTGCCACTATTTCCAATGCCTATAAAATTCCCCATTCTAATGCATTTAAAGGTGAAAATAATTCAGCTGCCCTAACTAAGAAGATATCCCCCAAGAAATCCAATTCGGAAAGAATAATGGATTGTGCTTCAAATGTAGGGAACGTTATGGGATAGGACACCAGTGCAAGAACAAGCAGTTGAATTTGATGGTGGTTGAGAAGAAGGGGGAAGGTGAGTTACTGGATGCAATAGGAGAGCAGGATGAAAAAACAGGCAACCCAGGAGAATTAGTGGATATCTCACTACATGCAATAACTGAGGCACTGGAGGAAGACAATAACTCCCAAGGAGGAAATCAAAGGAGTATCAGTGTACATCTTGGTTGATACAGGAAGTTCAGATTCCTACATCAGCTATCATTTGGTTAGAAATTTGGAATTGCCATATGTAGTCAATAGTCTTTTCACAGTAGTAATTGGAGATGGATCAAGTGTGACTGGATACACCAAAAGCCTCAAAATACTGTAGTCCACTAACAACTATAAATGTTGCTTTGATATGAGGACGATGGAACTTGGAGGGTGGGATCTAATTCTAGGGGTGGACTAGATGACTCATTATAGCCCAATTACTTTTGGTTTTCACAAGCTACATATCATCATTCATAGTGGGACAGAGGAGTTAATACTGCAAGGAGGTGTAGCTAAAGCAGAACTCAATTTGTTGCAGGACAAAGACTTGAGAGAGTACATTAATTACAAGGACAGTTGCTATAATATATCCCCAATACCCCAAGGAAGAGATCCAGGATCTGAAATGCAAGTAGAAGTTCAGGAGTTATTAGTGAAGTTCCAAGATGTATTTGCTGTTCCAACAAACTTGCCTCCTAAGAGAAGCTTGGATCATTCTATACCACTCAAACCAGAGGCTCAGGCTTTCAAAATCAAGCCTTACAGGTACCCTCATTCTCAAAAATTTGAAATAGAACGCCAAGTCATGGAGATGCTTGATAGTGGAATCATTAGACATAGTAATAGTCCTTATGCTTCACCTGTACTGCTAGTTAAGAAAAAAGTTGGAACATGGCGTTTTTGTGTTAATTATAGACACTTAAACCGGCTGATTATTAAAGACAAGCATCCAATTTCCAAAATTGAGGAGTTGATAGCAAAGTTATGTTGGAGACGAGATAAAACCCATGTTCTTTATGGTGGCACTAAAATTTTGCAGCATACACCCGATAAGGTTGTTTATCCTAATCATGTAAACCTTAATTTTTTGCTGTTTGATGTACATGATGGTAATCCTGTTTTCTTTGTCACTTGTTCTAGACATTTCATATGAAAACTCCTGATGGTGGCTGCTTGGCTGTTGTTTTAAGAACGGGATTTGAAACCAGCCAAGGAAAATTGATGCGGACTATTCTATTTTCTACTGAGAGGGTACATGGTCTATGTATTATTTTCTTTTCTTGGTTGAATATACTGGCTGTTTTTCCTCATCTTTCAGTATCTTTAAAGTTTTTTTCAATTATTTGAATTTTTGTAGGTTACTGCTAACAGCTGGGAAAGCGGACTCTTTATTTTATTCTTAGTAGTTTTTGCAGTAATTGCAGCAGGTTATGTTCTTAAAAAGGTAATTTTTGGTTTTGTGGCCTAGTGAATCTTTTTATGTATCTGTTCTCTAAAATTACCTAGTTTTCCTTTTGCATTTATGTGTATTGCATTTCTGCGAATACACAGTATGCACATGTATCGTTTTCTGCTCTTTTTTTTATGATGAAATGGTGTTCTGATGCAGGGGCTTGAGGACCCGACAAGGAGTAGATACAAGCTTGTCTTAAGTTGTTCCCTGATCATTACTTCTGTGATTCCACCTGAGCTACCGATGGAATTATCCATAGCTGTTAATACATCTTTGATTGCTTTAGCACGTCGTGGGATATTTTGCACAGAACCATTTAGAATTCCATTTGCAGGGAAGGTTAGAAGTTCAAGTTTATTTATGGTTCTTTTAAATAGTAGTTAACCGTACTGATTTTGCTGTTGGCTGTGGCATCATTAATTTATTAGTTACATATGCATATTTAGGTGGTATATTTGCTCTTGTTGCAAATATATTTAGAATATGGAAATTTAATACTGTTTTTTAGCGTTTGTGTCTCCTTGAATCGTCGTGAAGCATCTGGTGATCAGCTTTTCTTTTCTTTGCTTGATATAATACTTGAGATGTATTCTAATATCGAATTGTTTGGACATTTAAGGTCAGTCCTAGTTAATGTCTGATCGGGGAAAGATCCTTGCAATAGATTCTACTATTTTTGTTGATTCATTTTGTTATAATATTTGGGAAAGAGTTGGAATCAAATGAAAATGTTGGAGTTTCATATATGAAATTATGACATGTATACGCTTTATTTTGGTTGAGATTATTCTACAAGGGAATGATGACTGGTTCTCCAATTTCCTGTGTTTGGATGACAAATTAAACTATATTTAATTGTATTTTATGCATTTTTATTTTTGAAAGCTTTTTCCATCATGTTCTCGACTTTTATTATATTTATCACTGTATTTTTGAAATCATTGGTGTAGTTCTTGTTTGAAGTAGTAATCTTGATTAGTGATAACATTGTTTAATAACATGATTATTTTAAAGAAAATAGTTAGTGAGTTGAACATAGTAATATATCTACTCTTCTTACTAAAAGAAATTTGGGAACAATGCAGGCAAGGGGAAGAGAGAGGAGTTAAGGTGGGAATAGTTTGGTGATGGAAGCTGAATGATGGATTTAGATTTGCAAACTTCACTTTTGCTTTATCTGCATAACAACTTACTCTTGCATATTATCTAATATTGTCAGCCTTCATAAAGTTAATGGGAATCATTATTAGATGGTGGATGTCGGTGTATGTTTTAGGAAATTATTTGTGTTTAATTAAATACACGCTTAGTGTTTCTGGGTTTGGCTGGGAACCGTATCTTTTTCTATGGGATCTGATAGTAACAAATAGTGGTTTTGTGTCCCCTGGAAATGAAATAAAGTGGAGAATGTTAGATCAATTTTTCTTTAGTTGTTCGAATGCTGGACTTGATCTCCGTGTAATCAAATCTGTACTTATTCGGGATATGAAGTTGTTGGTCGACAAATCCAAACAAATGAGCTTCGTGTGATGTAGATTATCATAGTGCGACCTTGTGGTGCAAATTTGGGTGTATGGCTGCTAGTTACTATTTTGTATCCATTGTAGACAAGATTGTTGATGGTTTATTTCATGCTTATACTTTTTAGTTAACTTGGCAATCATGCAGTGTGACGAGATATGAGTTCTCTGTTATTAGCGGATGCATTGCTGGTGCTGGACTATGTTTATTACTAGTAAAGGGGAGAAAGTGAGAGTGAATGTTTTACTTCTCCATACAGAACACATAAACACTCTTTTACCTCTGGCTGGGAAGAGAATTTGAGATGATACTGGTTAGGATGGGTTGTCTTGTCTCCAGATGTGGAGGTTTGTAATGGAATCATGTATTGGGTTGGGTCACTTGGGTGCCTCTGCCATGTTGCTGTGTTACATCAGTAAGGTCAGCTTGTATTAGTTAGCGAACTTGTCATATGGAGCAATTTGGATAAGGTTTTTATTATTGAATGTTGGATTACCTTTTATTGGTGGGTTTCTGCTACTTGTTTGATGACGGGTGTCAAATTGAATAACTCATGTTTGTTGGTTTCATGAGACTAATTATTAAAAGTTCTTATATTATATAGTTTGATTAGCATGTTTGTTAGTATCCTTTTCTCTTTTAATGTGATTATACTCATGAAACTTCAGGATATTTGTTGGATATGAGTTGTATATGATTTTGACTGTTAGAAAGTGATTTTTCCCCCCTTGCTGATCCATAGTGTTCAATGTTCTTGATTTTGTCCTCATCTAAATTAGGTTTCTTTGCTTTCTGCAGGTTGATATGTGTTGCTTTGACAAAACTGGCACACTAACATCTGATGATATGGTATGAAAATTAGAAGCTTGAAAATTTGTATTTGACATTTGCATTTTTGCCAAATCGTTTTTCTTATGACTCTTTAACCTTTAGGAATTTTCTGGAGTTGGTGGACTAACTGATCGTGAGGAATTAGAGACAGAAATGAGTAAAGTTCCAGGACGCACTCAGGAAATTCTTGCTTCATGTCATGCCTTGGTTTTTGTGGACAACAAGCTGGTATTCTTTAGACTTCTTGGCTACTATGCACAATAGTTACTTTTATGTTGTTCATCCATGAATTTTTTTGCAAATAATTCCTACTTCCATGATCAATTGAGCATGATATTTTATCGATGATTCAGTAGATTAATAAGATTTACTTGCACTTAATTGTTGAGAAGGCGTTCTGTAGGAAGCAGATCAAACACAACTGCCTCCATAGTGTGTTGTCGAGTATTGGGTGTGGGGGCTGGCGGAAAGAAAGATTGAGCCTATCAAAGTTTTGTATTCCTCCAATTCGGGAGGAAAAAAGAATGGAGAGTTCAAATAGAGATCCCATAATTTCCATCGTTGGATAGTCTAAACATTAAAGAAAAAGTGAATTTGTAATGGAGCTTTTATAAATTGATGCAGTTAGCAGATTTTGGATACTCCAAAATGAAATACCAGTTGTATCGCTTTTTCCTGTGTAATAATCTAAACTGGCCACTTTAATGCTACAAAATGCTAAATCATCCTTCTTACATTTTCCTATTTGGATGTTGCAAGATTGCCTTTAAGGCATCTAAAACTAGCCTTTAATGGTTGGACGGAAGTAGAATAAAGACAAGGCTTGGGGATGCTGTACTTTCATTGATGAAAGTTTCTTCCTCAGAAATATTGTTTGCCTCTTCAAGCAAAAGTACTTTGGACGTTTTAATGATTGTGCTCAAGATGCTGCAATCCGTTATTGTCTGTGACACTCTATTTAATTCCATGAAGGGTCGTTTGGTTTTGCGAACTGGATCAGAAGCATTGAGTTGTTATAATATTAAGCATCCCAAGAATTAGTGCCCCCCGACTCCTAGCTGAATTGATAATTCATGTGTCTGGTGCCTGGGATAGTCATCTAACTCATGATTGAAAGGATCTAGTTTTTGTAAAAATATTTGTAATGACTAGATGACTGTGCAAACTTATTGTATTTCAAATTAGAAGTTATTATTATTTTTGTCAATATTCTGCTGTGGGATAAAAACATAAAAAACTTTGATATTTATCAGAGCATTGTTATACTGATAATTTGGTTACAATATAACCATCCACACAAATATTTATTCTATGTCATTGCAATGTTTCCCTAAATATAGATTTACAGATTATGCAATCACTTAACCTGTAGGAAATAGAATAAGCACATAGAAGATAATTTTGAAACATACAAATAAGAATATGAGGGTGTTCAAGTCCCCTGCTTTTCTGCAGTTTGCTTCTTGTACCATTTATTACTCTACTGAACTCCCTTATTTGATATTATTTACTGCATGTAGTCTACATTAAGTGGGGTTGTGAAAGAAATGGGAGAAGACACCCCTTCCTCGACTTCTTCCAAACCAAAAACTTGACAATGATGGGCAATTGATGATATGCTGCATCATGATATGCTGCTTGATGCATTGAACTGAACATGTACTTGTTACGTTTAGTTGGCTGTTGAGCAATCTTTTGCAGTTGCCATTGTCTTGGGGAAGGCTGTATGAATATCTTTTAGGATTATGCCATTGTGTGCTTCCAGAGTTCCCATTGTCTATTGAGATCTTTGCACTCTAATCTCTCGTATGAATTGGACTGGCTTATTGAATCCAGTGCATTACCCATTTTCTAGTTTCTGCATTACTTTCTCCAACAATATTGGAACTAGGGCTGCCTCTGTGCTAGCAAAAATTTTCTGTAGTAATATTGTTCCATACTTGAATGCAGGTTGGTGATCCTCTTGAAAAGGCTGCTCTTAAGGGAATTGATTGGACCTACAAATCAGATGAAAAGGCCATTCCGAAGAAGTAAGTCAATAGTGTTAATAATAATTTTTTCCCTTTGTTGAGCTGATAAAGCTAGTTGTTGTGGTTTGCAATTCAAAAGAAAGTTATTTGTTTTTCCGTTTCAAAGCGTAGTCATTACTGTTGATTGAATGTTATCTTTCCACTCTCTGTCATGCATGTGTCCTAGGTCAAAATATAAATTAACTTTGCGTTATTTAATGTACCTTTCAACATAAATCTATTGCCATAAAGGCCTGAGAGGTGTAAGATTGTTTTAAGAGCACAATTTTCTTGTCTCAGCATATTGCACTGGCAACTGTTAAACTTTGTCTGCTTTGGTTTTTGGCTAAGTGTTGCATGTGGGAAATATCAATTTATTAGGTTGACACCTGATTAGATGCCTTTTTCAAACAATCTGGGTGTACTTGCATACTAATTTATTTACCTAAGGGCTTGTTCTCAGCTGCTTGTTTGGACTTCTAACTTTTAAATTTAAAAAATCTGTAATGTTACATTCAACTGCTTTTGCTTTCTGCTTTTATCATTAATATAGCTGAATTTAGGCAAAAACCAGAAGCTGCCAAGGACCGTCTTTTTGGAATATCACTTTGATCTTTTACAGAATTAACCTTTACCAAAAGCCGTGTCAAGTGAGAACTGGCCCTAAGTAGAAAAGGTACTTAAAATACTGCTAAGATAAATTGTATGTAGCAAGAGAAGCATTACTTGTGTTACAAATGAAGCTGTTCACTTTTGAAATTCTAGTTTATTTTCTTTTTAGAGTTTTTATTGTCTCCATGAAACTTGTACATTATTGTTATCGAACTCATTACTGACTGAGACTGCATTTGATGACTATATTTGGGTGGTTCACCATTTCATTGGTCATTTTTTTGAATCACTCATTCAGTGCTGACATGATAGTTGTGTTTGGTTGAAGCAGACATAAGCTTTTGCTTCCTGAAATTTGATTTCTTGTCTGCTCTCACTTTAATGGAGATATTGTTGGCTTTGAGAGGGGAAACAGAAAAGAGGTCTGACTTGAATTAGTAATTTTGCTGAAGAGATTGACATGCCATGCGGATAGGAATGGCAGCGGGGGCAGGTACCCGCTGGTGCCCGCCCCGCGGGGGGAGTAATGGGGCGGGGCGGGTGCGGGGACGGGGGGAATTTTTGTCCCCCCGTCCCCCGTTTCAATTTATTAATATAAATAAATGTAATATATTATATAATCTAATAATAACAAATTTAGAATATTTGGCAACTAAACATAACTTTTATTCCATTTCTATCCAAATTCCTAGTTGATATTTGGTACAAGCATGTTACGTGTTCTAGGAGTATTCCCAAATGTTATCTATACAATCCAATTGAGTTTCTTAATTTTCTTGGTGTTTTATTTCAACACTTTTCTTTTTTCACTTTTTTCAGCTCCGTATTTTATTTTATTCTTTGAATTTAACTTTGATTTATTACTAAAGGCTTCTAGAAAAAAAAAAAATCAAATTATCACCCGCGGGCACCCGCAGGGGAAGTGAGGCTGCCATCCCTACATGTGGATTAGCTTTCTGTTTAATGAACTCTTCTTCATGATTGTACTTTAGCTGTATAGACTCTAATTGAAGATTTTACAAATGTCAATTGTTAGTTTTGCTTTCTTATTGTTTCTTTTTGGATTTTTTAATAGATAATATTTCATTGTTTGGATCAGTTACTTGAACTTCCCTTTTTTTGTTCTGATTGCCTTGAGCTTCCTTTTCTTGAAATTCTATGAAACATTATTTTGTGTTAATCAAACACTTTCTCTGTAGGTTAGTTTTGCATAATTTTAGAAGATCAAGGTGTACCCAGTACTTAGAAAACCTAGGGGAATTTAGTTTTGATTACCCTGACTTATCTTAGCCCAGTGCTCTCTAGCTTGCACATTTTTAAGAAAAATGTTTTCTAATGACAAGGATCCTTCGAATCAATCTTTGGCTACATGATACAAGTAGCATTTCATGAATGCATGTTTCATAACAACAGGACAGATACAAAGAGATGATGTTAATTTATTGCTATTTTCCCTGCTCCGCTCGTGCATTTCTGTCCAGGAATTGGTATTATTTTAGTCTAAATGTTGAGTCTTGCCTGGAATGGTAGTATGTTTAGGTAAAATTGATGCAAGGTAATGGGCTGATGATTTTTAACTCGATGCATTCCATTGGAGACCAATCTTTAGAAATCCCGATAATAGGTTTAGTTTTCACTTTTATTCGTCAACCTGATTGTCCAATAAGGGAAAAAATTCTCAAATGGTCATTCTTTATTTATTCACTGATGATGCATAGAAGAGTGGTTTGCAGTTAACTACAAACATTTGAAAGTTAAAAAGGCCTACACTGCCTTTTTGGTTTTTGCTGTTACGTGCTTAAAGGATGTTTGTTACAATTATGCAGCAGAGATCTAATATGTGATTGTCTTTATTATACCGCTTATACTTGAGTTGCATCTCCGGAGATTTGACATAGTTCAGTAACCCACCCTTTTGATTTTCTCAGTCATGAGATTTGTTACTACCTAGTGATTCTAGTTTTTTCAGTAATTAATGTCTGTCACTTAATTTGTTTAAGATTTCTCATAATATTGGTTATGTTTTCCTTTTATAACAAATTATTTGGAATTGCAATAAACAAAATTTTCAATCTGCAGGGGTAGTGGAGATGCAGTTCAGATTGTGCAGAGGCACCACTTTGCTTCCTATCTTAAAAGAATGGCAGTTGTTGTTCGTGTTCAGGAGCAGTTTTTTGCTTTTGTGAAGGTATGGATATTGATATTTGATATCTTTTTTTGCTTTTCTTTCTTCTTGTGTATAAGGGGGTGGCAAGTATCATGGCTGATTTGACTTTGTCTGATTTCTGATCTGTTTATGATTTTGTATCTCTTCTACTATTTAAGTGGTTTGGCTATGTTGTGTGGGGTATGCCTTAACAATGTAGCATATGGTTGGGCATTTTTTCATTTATCCTCGATCCCTGATAGTTTGGCTTCATTTTTTCTATTTGTCTGTGATGCACGATTAAGCTGCCTGTTCTGTAAGGAATTCCTCCTTAGAAATGACAGGAACTGTAATCCAAATTTTCATTTTGAGTTTCTAATAAATTTGGCATCAGCTTTTCATATACATGTGCTGGGACTATTATGTGGGGAATGACTATCATGACGTCAAAAACACCTTTCTGCTATTTGCACAGACACACACATGTATAAACATGTATATATTTCTTTTGGGCGTTTTTTGAGTTTGTTGGCTCTAAACATCCAAACATATATTTGCATAAAAGGCAGTAGTGTAGGAATCTGTTTAGCTACAGTGCCAGTTCTTTGCCTTGCCAGTTAGGCTTTCTGAATGTTATTCCATAACATGAAATTTTCCTTCCTGCTCTTTTACCATTGTGCACCCAAAAGTTTTAGTGACAAACGAAGACAAACAATTGGCCTTGGTGACTATGTTTTGTATGTGTTATGTTCTGGTGAGAGATCATTTTGATTGTTTCTACCTGTTGAACTCCAGGGAGCACCAGAAACCATCCAGGAGAGGCTTATTGATGTACCTCCATCTTATGTCAAGACTTACAAAAAATATACACGTCAGGGATCTCGTGTATTGGCTCTCGCTTTTAAATCTCTTCCAGAGATGTCAGTAAGTGTTTTTGTTTCAGCAGTATTTTCCTACTCTTAGATCTCAATCTTGCCCTGTTCCAGCCTTTTTTAAATGGTTGTATTAGGCATATGTACCTGTGTCTTGTGAGTGCCTAGAATTTGGTCAAACCTCATTTACATCTTCCTAGAGTTCGATATAAATGTGTCATATAGTTTTGAGGTCATGTTTTATATTCCACTAGCTTAATCTGAAGGTTTCAAATTGTAAGATAATCATATAGAATCAATATTGGAGAATGGAGGTGTTATCTTGGCAAGTTTTCTGTCCTCTCCTGATACGTAAAACATTTTATCTGAGGCAAAATATTTTTACGGTTCCTTTTCCTGGGTATACAATTAGAGTATGTAATAAGGAGTCATACTGGGGACCTGAACCTTGCATCGATGTCAAAGTTTTTGTTGTTGGGAAATTTCTGAATGTCTAATTAATTAGTCAGTGTTATTTTCCCATGCCAAGGATGGCGGCCATTTGAAAGAAAGTCCATCATCCGTCTCAATCACATTATATGCTTCAATGTGCTCTAGTTCATTAACATTTTTCCGTTGTTCTCCCTCTCTCTCTCTCTCTCTCTCTGTGAAATGCACACCTTTGCCGTTGCCCTTTTTTAAAGACATAAGACGTGTATCTTTTATTCATGTTTTTGTGGTGCAATTTTCTTTTCCATTGCTTTTTCATTTTAAGTTTCTGCTTATAAGTCATCTTTATGATTTACATCATTGAAGGTTAGTGAAGTGAGAAGCTTGGACAGAGATGTGGTGGAAAGTGGACTTAACTTTGCTGGCTTTGCGGTATTTATTCTATTGCTTGCATCTGATTTCTTCTGATGTTGCACTTTCTCTCTTGTAGCCTCTGATTTTAGATTTATTGCATGGACCATCTGTTGTGAAGTGAGTTTTGAATCTCTTTCTGTATTATTCAGGTTTTCAACTGTCCTATCAGAGGAGATTCGGCCACTGTGTTGACTGAATTGAAAGGATCATCACATGATCTGGTGAGTAATTGTAAATTCTTTAGACAAATGGAACCATTTTTTTTTTGTCAAGATTTCATGATGAGAATCAATAGCAATTGTTAAGAAGATGTTAGTCATTAGTATGTAGCCTATGATGGTTTTTTGGGTTATTTGCAGCAATGGCAAGCAATGGCAAATTTTATTCTTATTTTCATGTACAGATAAATGGCATTTAAAGGATGCAAAATGTTAAAATTTTTCATTGTATTTTTATGTTAGGTCATGATTACAGGTGATCAAGCTTTGACAGCTTGCCATGTTGCTAGTCAAGTTCATATTGTTACAAAACCTGCCCTAATTCTCAGCCGAGCTAAGAGTGGTGAAGGATACGAGTGGGTTTCACCTGATGAGACTGAGGTTATTAGCTACAGGTGCAAACATGAATAGCTTTTTACTTGGCATAAGCAGGCAATGTAGTTATTCTTTGCCTTTGTCCTTTTTTTTCCCTTCATTTTTATTTGCTGTTTGTTAATTTCCACAAATATGTGGAAATGTTAACGTTGAGCTCTGTTTGACCATGTATGTCTTGACTTTTGTTACATCCTTTATCTTTGAAGAGACATTCTTTTATTTGTCTTGTAAAAGGTGGATATCCACCTTTGGTGTCTGGTTTCTCCTCTCTTTTCTTTGCTTTGTAAATTTCAGATAAGTTTTGACTCTTACTTTGGTCACAGGGACAATGAGGTTGAAGCTTTATCAGAAACGCATGATTTATGTGTTGGAGGTGACTGTGTGGAAATGTTACAGCAGAGTTCTGCTGTTCATAAAGTCATTCCATATGTGAAGGTTGTGATAGATACATTTGTGAAACATATCTCAACGTTGCATGGTCTCCTCTTCTGACATAGTATCTCTAATTTGCCAGGTATTTGCAAGGGTTGCTCCAGAGCAGAAGGAACTGATTTTGACCACTTTTAAATCAGTAGGAAGGGTAACATTGATGTGTGGTGATGGGACAAATGATGTTGGCGCATTAAAACAGGTGCCACATTACTGTGAGCTGTTTATTCGATCTGTTGAGATTTTAGTTGTCTATTGCTTGTAAATTATTTCTTTAGTCTTGTTAAGTCACTAAACTGCCTTCCAAGTTTGTTCAGTCCTTCTCTACAGTTTTTGAAGTTAAACTCATTTCTTGTGTCAATAACTTTTCATTAACATTCATTGAGTTTGTTTGGATAGGAGTTTATTTGGATGATTTATTTAAGATAATTACTGTAACACTTTTTGTGATGTGATGTATGTGAGATAAAAAGGTGATTGGGAAGATAAAAAGGTGATTGGAAAGATAAAAAGGTGATTGGAATTTGTGAAGTAAATTTTTTATTTCAAATCTTCCTAATCCAAACACACCCAATATTTTCTTGCAAATTCGTGGTTGATTGCATCCCTTTCATAATCTTGCAACAATGACCTTGAAACTGTAAAAATTTTTTGATGTACAATTAAAAGTTAATACATTCTGATGTTTTTGTCAGGGTTGGGATGGGAGAGTTTTTTTTTCCTCTCTTTTTGATTGTGGAAAGAAATTTTAAGGCTTTTAAGCTTATCTCCCCAATAAATTTTTAAGGAATTTATTTTATCTAACATTCTCGTCTCTTTCCTGCTGAAATTCCTACTAGATATGCCTCATAATATTTGGCCTGCTACCTTTTTAATGTGTTGCACTATTTGCATTTTGCATTTATGACAATGCTATCAGGAAATGTTCCTGATTTCCCCAATTTCTACAACTATACTAGGGGATGACTTAACATGATAGAATGTGAAAATGAGATGTGAAGAATATATTAATGCAATCTCTTCTATAGCCACGTTGATGCTTTTTTAATGGCTCAGGTGGTCACTGCCTCTGGGATTGATATTTTCGCCCCCCTTTTGTCCTGGTCAAAAGTGCTTTCTGAATAACTGCCAATGCTGCCTTTTTAAGCCAGATTTTATGACCCAATTTATTTTCCTTATTCTATGCTTGAAGCAAGATTAGTGTTCATGTTGGTCGAAATGTTCATCAGGGTTTATGTATTTATATGGTAAAAGGTGGTTTAAAAATGTTTGAGCTTTTCCTGATGTCACCGTCTTTTGCATAATATTCTAGTGGAAGACTTATTTGGATAAGAAAAATATGTCTGTCCAAGCATTTCTATGGCCAGTTTGGTGCTTTCTTAGGGGCTTAGGTCACCAATTCTGCTGTGTATATTTTTCAAGATTTTTTTTCTAACTTCCATGATTGCAGGTTAAAATTCAGATTTAGGAGTTTTACATTATCCTCATTCTTTGCTTGCATTATAGTGACGTCAAGTTTGTCCAAGTTTTCATCAGAACTTGTTTATAACTTACTAAGGTTGCTGGTGGTTTGAAAACTATTTCTTCCTTGGAGATTATTGGTTTCTATTCAGGCTTTTCCTTTTTTTTTCAGATCATTAGCTTCTTTAACTTAGAAATGCAGACTGTATGGTACTATTTTTCTAATTACTTAATTTATTTTTTAAGGCTCATGTTGGAGTAGCTCTACTGAATGCAATAGCCCCCACTCAAAGTGAAAAGTCTTCAAATGAAGCATCAGCAAAAGGTGAAAGTGCAAAACCTGCTAAAGCAAGGAAAATTAAACCTGCAGTGGAAAATGGAGAAGGATCTTCGAAAAGCAAACCTATCTCAAAGTCTGAATCTTCTAGTAATCAAGCTGTTAATCGCCATCTCACAGCTGCAGAGATGCAAAAGCAGAAGCTGAAGAAACTCATGGATGAGCTAAATGAAGACAGTGATGGTCGATCTGCTCCTATCGTCAAGCTTGGGGATGCTTCAATGGCATCGCCATTTACAGCAAAACATGCTTCAGTTGCCCCCACAACTGACATAATTCGTCAAGGCCGTAGTACGCTTGTGACTACCCTCCAAATGTTCAAGATACTTGGACTTAACTGCCTTGCCACCGCCTATGTGTTGAGCGTAATGTATCTGGATGGTGTCAAGTTGGGGGATGTTCAGGCAACAATTAGTGGGGTTTTCACAGCTGCATTCTTCCTATTTATCTCTCATGCTCGTCCCCTTCCAACCCTTTCAGCTGAACGGCCTCATCCTAATATTTTCTGTGCCTATGTCTTTCTTTCCCTGATGGGACAGTTTGCGATCCACCTCTTTTTCTTGATTTCTTCTGTGAAAGAGGCTGAGAAGTACATGCCAGATGAGTGTATTGAGCCAGACTCAGATTTTCACCCCAATCTTGTGAACACAGTTTCATACATGGTCAGCATGATACTACAGGTTGCTACATTTGCTGTGAACTATATGGGCCATCCATTCAACCAGAGTATACCAGAAAACAAGCCTTTCCTATATGCACTAGTGGCTGCTGTAGGCTTTTTCACAGTGATTACCTCTGACTTGTTTAGGGACTTGAATGACTGGCTCAAGTTAGTCCCCTTGCCCAAAGGATTGAGGAATAAGTTGCTGATATGGGCAGCTGTCATGTTTATAGTCTGCTATAGCTGGGAAAGGCTATTGAGGTGGGCATTCCCTGGTAAGATGCCTTCTTGGAAAAGGCGACAAAGGCAAGTTGCAGCAAACCTTGAGAAAAAGAAACGCGTCTGAGTTTGCAGGGCATCCAAGTCTGCAGAATTTTCATCAGGAGTTTGAGCATCTACAGGCAAGCATTCTTAGGAGCTATTTTTGACTTAGTGGAAAGCAATGCCACCGTTCAGCTTTGGAGAAATTTCAAGTAATGTATCATTCATACCTATATGTGCCTTACCCTGTGCGGAAGATTTTTGACCCTTTTTCTTTCCATACTCTTTAATAGATATCTCAGAAGAACGAGATAGGAAACTATTCCTTCATTTTTATGTTTAGAAGGAAAACGAATCTCCATTATTATCCAAAGAATTTTGTACCAAGATGCCGTATATTGTTTGGTTATCCAGCCTTTCCGAACTTGTTTCAACTGAAGGTTGTCTCGTTTATACTGGAAAACAGTTCTTCCTTGTGCAGGCACTTGTATCCTTTTTTTAAAAAAAAATTTATTTCAGGGTTACATTGCTTTCAATGCAAAATGTGATGAATTGTCCTTCCTTGTATGTGTAACATTTTATAATTTAATTCAGGGCAAAATCATGATATATTATCGAGGGAAAATGACAAATTGTTCTCTGACCTTATAACCTCTAGCTTTAGTTATATTATGGGGTTAGATTGGTCCCTCCACTTTAATTTTGAGACACTGGCATTTCTCAAAGTTTTGTTAGTGAGCTAACTTGGTACTAAATTTGGAGGAGGATCCAAATTAGTCCAATAATAGTAGTTTTCAGACGGTACTGTTCCAAATTAAATTCCAAGGACCAGAAGTGTTCACAAAATTTTTGTTCTATTCGTAGTGCCTATTTTTGGCCTATTTTAGAAACACAAAATTCATCTAAAACATCATCTATAGTAACCCTCTCACTCTAAAATACTCGCAAGTTTTAGAAAGAACACCAAAAAAAAAATAAAAGTTTGAGTATCGTTGCCGGTGATGGGTGGGTGGGTGGTTGGAGAGAGGGGGAAGGGAGTTTTTTGGGAAATAAGATATTTTGAACAAACACATAATGTTTTTCTAAAATAATTATAATAATAGGTTACAAAAAAAACTTTTAAACAATGCTCAAAAGAACATAGTATATAAGTGGATCCTCAATTTGAAACGTGTGCATGGTCCACTTTCGAATTATTTGCTGACATGTTTGTGCTCAATTTTGCTGCAGCCACTAAATTGTATGGCTATATTACAAGAAATAATGTAGTAAACAAATGGTGGATATAAATGAATATAAAACTTGTGGTTTGTTAATTATTTTTCTTTAAATTTATCAATTTAGTATTAGTGTCAAGTTTTATTATGTAAAGGTAATTTTACATGTTTGATCTGGTTAGAGAAAGAAACAATATGTCACTATTATTTTATGCTGCTTAGTAACTAGTTGCTTCAATGGATTATCATTCTACTTACACATCTAGGCAAATTCACAAAATTATACTGAGGAACAGATTTTTGTTCAACAATAAAACTCAAATATGGCCGCCTATGACAATAAATGAGCCTTAAGATATATGTTAACTGTGTCAATAATCACTAAATAGTGTCAAGATTATGCTTTTTAAGTTAAATGTGCATGTATTCAATAATATTAGGCGAACTAATATTATTTAACCTTATGATTCTATAATCTGATTGTATTTTCATAAAACGATCGTGTGTAGGATCCAGATCTTACAAACTATAGTCCATCTACACTAAAATTTAACCAAAATGAAAAATAAAAATTTTGAAAAAGAGTAATAGAAAGATTTGGAATTCATAAGTAGGGTGTAACCTTTTGGTAGATTTGTGAATAGCACATCGGTTAACTATTCATAAATTACAGAAAAAAAAAATTATTTTGTAGGCAATTCATGAATTTACCCTTAGCGTACATATTAGCACTCCTAGGCGCACATAACTTTTTTTTTTTTTTTTTTTGTCGACACAGGGGTGTCTAGAACCATTGAACCCGACTAATCCCCTGCGGCTGTGAGAGCCCCGCCCCAAGGTTCACAGCGCGTTAGCTTTCCCGGGGGTCGAACCAGTGACCTGCCTCTAAAGAGGGGACTACGGAAATCAGTCGATCTGTCAGGGGGCTCTAGACGCACATAACTTGATTTAGATATTCACATTTGAATGTATACTATGTATTTAGCAAAATGCATATTTTTATTAATTAAAGTGCACATTACTATTCAATTAAGTGAAAGTCGGCACAAAGATAATGTGGTCATTTTGCGAGAAATTTATTACCTATTTAGATCTATGAATAGTAACCCAATTATAAATTTTTCAAAAATTATGCTCTACTTATGAATTTCAATTGTTCCTATTACCTATTTTCCAAATTTTTTTTAAAAAAAAAAAACCATTTGCTATATCACTTCTACAATGTGATCTGTATGGAACAAAAAAAAAAAAAAAAAGACAATTGAAAACGTCGCTATTCTGTGTTTAAAGAATTTCAAAAAGAAAATTTCCAAATAAGTTCCTTTCCAAGCGGAGCCATTAATATTTCTAAACCCAATTGATTGATTGGTTCCATCCTTTTTTTTTCTTAGAATTTTGATTATTTTTAATTGGATAAAATTACATTTAATAGTTGGATTAAATATTTACCATGTTGCAGCTATCAACTAGCAACATTTCCTAAAATCTGTTAATTAACACTAGGGCTAATCGTAGTTTCCTCCCTCGCACTTGTAATATCTTGCACTCTGAACTTTCAAATTTAACTCCAATTAATAATAACCTTTGTTATTGTTCATGCATTAAATCATTAATTGGGCCAATGGAGTAGAGTACAGAAATTACTGTTTTATTCTTGGAGAGGAAGTAATCTACAGGAGAAGAGAATATAGAAATTGAAAGGTTATGCACTGAAACAAATTAATGTGATATAAATTAGAGCATTTGGTGACGGATTTGCTCGTTGTTGTGCTGGAAAATGGCAAATCATAGAGTGTGAAGAGGTGTTCTGCTCCTCGGGACTGCCGTGAAGCACATAGTTCGAAGATGGAGGCTGTTTAGTAATTAGAAGTACGGGTGTCAGTGACAATACAGGGCCAATGTTGGGAAGACATGCGAGGCTGTTCGTGCGTGGCAGGAAGCGCCCTTCGCACAGATGGGCATTGTGAATGAGGTCTTCGACCCTGACGATGCGATGCCGTCTAGCACGATTACATGAAGCTATCGGAATTAGGCTAGGGAGCTGGTCATAGATATGGCAACAAGTGCAAAGTGGCCTAAATGAATGTCGTGGCTGCTGGGCAAGTCTCCAGCAATGGGATGGTTTTCTCGAGTTGTCTTGAGAAACTGAGTGAAAAACTTGCAATTGCTTCTGATCTTGTGTATAACTTTTTGTCTAGAGATGGCGTAGCGAGTGTTGGATATTGTTTCAAAGGTCTGCAGCATGGAGTTCGAGGGAAGATTGATTCGAATGGGAAAGTTTCCAGTTTTTTTCCAAGAAAGATTCTAAGTTTTGTTCTTTCAGCAGAGATTGATCATCCCAGAAAAGATCAACTGAAGTTTGGGTTTGGGATGAGTTGCTGATCAGCCACAGCTTTCCTGGTTTCAAAGAGGATGTCCTCTCACAGGTCTCACTTATATGGTAGAATTATAAAATATTAAAGCCTAAAATTTGGGTATTTGTACGTTTTGCCTTCACTGAAGCAAATTAATTGGTATACAGTAGTATGTTTCAAACCAAGAAATCCACTCAATTCTGTTTAACATTCCCTGCTGTGAAAAGCTATTTAACATGAAATACTCCTTATAAATCTCGTGCTGTATTCTTGAATTGTCACCCACTCTAATTGAGCAAAATTTTCTGCTAGCTACAATGTTCCTCTTTCGTTGATTCAGCAGTAAAGGCTTACATTGGGAAATTCCATTCGAGTATATACTCATCTAAATCACTATCAAGCACAGCAGATCTACAAAAATTTGCCCGCTCAAAACTCCATAAATCAATAGTAAGTTTCCAATTCTCTCTGCTACAATACACTGTAATTGCACTGAAGAAACCTTTTCATAATGTAGTGAATCAGTTACCACAATGGGTGGGCCAACTGCCTTTTCTCTTTTGCCTTTTGGAGAAGTGGAGTCAGAAGTCGCTAGAGAAGGCAATGCCATCACCAGAAAAGAATAAAGATGGTCAAAGCTTCGAGTTCTTCAGACGCTAAACTAGAGGATATGGCTTGTAAAAGCATTTAAATCTTGTCGGCGTGCAGTTTAAACTTGCCTCAATATTTCACTTTGTTATAACACGATCACCAATAGTCCCCACATGAACATAAACCATTTCTAAAATGGTGAAATCTTTTGGAATCTCTTACCACAATCTCCCGTTCAACAATCTTCGAGATTAATCGTATTGTTGTATGACAATCCATACAAATTCTAAGATTCTTTATCACCTGGATTGTTGCACCGGGAACTGAGTTTAGAATTCCAAAAGCTACAGCTAGCTTCTCACTGTGGACTTGTAACGTCATTCCTTTCTCTTCGTTCTCAACATCATGAAGAACTGATGCTGTATCCGCTACATAGCCAGCTTCCTGCAGCTTCACATATAGTTCTTCCAAGTATGCATATGTCTTCTCATGTTCAGGATGTTCTCTGTCCCCAACTAGAAACACATGAGCTCTACCTTTTAGTTCCACCAGACTGAAACCAGGTGGTTTAGCCAATCCATGACTTTGCATATAAATTCTCATCCTTTTCACATCATCCCACCTACCAGCTTCAGCATAAATGTTTGACAGCGAGACATAATACCCACAGTTGTTTGGGTCTAATTCAAATAGTTTCCTAGCTGCAATCTCCCCAAGCTCCACATTCTTATGCATTCTGCATGCTGCGAGAAGAGAACCCCAGACAACAAAATCAGGCGGAGTCTTCATTTCTCTAATCAAATCATATGCCCTTGAAAGAAAACCAGCACGACCCAGGAGATCAACCATGCAACTATAGTGCTCCACTCCTGGATCCATGCAAAACCTGTCTTTCATGGCTCTAAACCAAAACCATCCTTCATTTAGAAAGCCAGCATGACTACAAGCAGCTAATACCGTCACGAAAGTTATGTAGTTTGGTTTCACCCCCATCTGATTCATCTCATAGAAGACATCGAGAGCTTCTCTGGCTTGTCCATGCATTCCATATCCAGCAATCATGGCAGTCCATGACTTCACATTCCTTTCTTTCATTCGATTGAATGCTTTCCTTGCCATTCCAACCCTCCCACACTTGCAATACATGTCAATGATTGAGGTTCCCACATATATATTATCCTCCAATCTCATCTTAATAACCTGATCATGTATGCACTTGCCCAGCTGGAGCGCTCCAGAATGGGCACAAGCCAGCAACACCGTAGACAAAGTCATAGCATTATGATCAACATCTGTGTCACTCACCATCGAACGAAATGCTTGGATAGCCTCCGTTGAGAACCCAAGTTGTGCATAAACT